GAACCGATTTAGATTAAATTTGGTAAGAAGATAGTTTGAGACCCTGAGAAGGACATAGGATACTTTTTATCTTGGAAATCATCCCTTAAGGCGGTGAAAATGGGGATGAAAGTTTGTATGGCGAATAAACCTAGACCTTTTGTAAATAAATAAATAAATAAATAACTTGTGTTTTGTTTAAACAAGAGGCGAATATGATATGGATTTATTCAGAAACCATAATGATAGTTCAAGGACCACTACAAATTTTAAGCTAAAATGAAAGGATATATTTCGCCACCTCACAATCAGTCACGAGATTGTACTTAGTGATGTTGGGAAATATGTAAGGATTTACTTGTAGTGCATATTTTACACAAACTTCTAAATCGACTGCTTGTTTATTTCTAAATACTAATATAAATGCGAAACTGTGTATGTTTCTCCTGTTCGCAGTAGCAACTTTACAAAGGCAAAAGTAAACAGACTATGACCTATACTATGTTTAAAGTTGGGAAATGCATTTACACATACCACTTACATACAGGTGGTTACGTGCACTAAAAGCCAACGGAACCTCCACCTCTTAATGGGGTGTCGCAGGATCGCTTGACGCACTTAACAACAATGCCTTGATAACCTGCCGAGGGAGACAACAACAACCATGTGGCTACCTACACGATAAACTCTGCCATAAGATAAAAACTTTTTAACAAAAAAATAAAAACCGACTTCAAACAAAAGCACTAAAAAGTAAAAAATAACTGATTGGTAGTTTTCATTCACTATACATACCTAATCATATATTTTCGAAGTCTGTGTGCTTTGCTTTGTATCGACTGAAAAGTACTATTGTTTAATTAGATGAATTAGAAAATTGTGATGTAAATAAAAAATTAGACACATGCGCGTTTCATATTAGCGCACTTAATAGAACACTATCATCACTGATATGTCATCCCAAATCCCAAAAGTAGTTAAAAGGATGGCAATACTAGGGAGGAAATAGTTTGTCAGTTAGCTTAACTGTCAGTTTGTTTAACTGTCTGTTCGTTTATCTGTCAGTTAATTTAACTGTCAGTGAGTTTAACTGTCAGTTTCTTCAACTGTCAGTAAGTTTGACTATCAGTTAGGTTGACCATCAGATTCATTAAGGGCTAGTAAGTTTAACTGTCAGTTAGATTAACTGTTTGTTCGTTTAACTGTCAGTTATTTTAAGTACCAGTAAGTTTTACTGTCAGTTACTTTAAATCATGGTTAGTTTAACTGTCAGTAAGTTTAACTGATAGTTTACTTAACTGTTAGTTAGGTTAACTATCAGTTAGTTTAACTATTAGTTAATTTAACTGTCAGTAATTTTAACTGTCAGTTTGTTAAACTGTTAGTAATGTAGCTGTCAGTAAGACTAACTGTCAGTTTTAATAGCAGCTAGTAAGTTTAACGGTCAGTTAATATAACTGCCAGTAAGTTAAACTGTTAGTTAGCTTGACTGTTAGTTAGTTTAACTGTCAGTTTGTTTAACTATCAGTAAGTTAAACTATCAGTTTGATTTACTGTCAGTAACGTTAACTGTCACTTAGATTAACTGTCAGTATGATTAACGGCTAGTAAGATTAACTGTCAGTTAGTTTAACTGTCACTTAGTATAACCTCCAGTTAGTTTAACTGTCAGTTAATTTAACTGACAGTTAGATTGACAGTAAGATAGATTAACGGCTAGTTAGTTTAACTGTCGGTTAGCTTAACTTTCAGTTAGTTTAACTCTTAGTTTGATTAACTGCTAGTTAGTTTAACTGTCGGTTAGCTTAACTTTCAGTTAGTTTAACTCTTAGTTTGATTAACTGCTAATTAGTTTAACGTCTTCTTCGAATTTCTTCTTCGCCTGTCTTCTGCATTTCTTTTAATGTCTCTTCTCTTCTCTTTCATCCATCAAATTATATATTAGTTACTAGCAGCTCACTCTTAAACAAAAACAAATTTATCCCACGGGAACCGTAAATTTTTCCGGGATACAAAGTAGCCTATTTGTTATTCTGATGTATGAACTAATACAGTTCCATTAAAATCCCATCAGTAGTTTTTGTGTACTAATATGTAGGTACAAGTTACTACAAATTTTTAACTATCCCACGGGAACTCTTGGATTTTCCGGGATGAAAAGTATCTAAAATGTTGACTGGGGATATAAGGTGCAAATTTCATTTAAATCGGTCCAACAGCTTCGGAGATTAGCCCGTACAAACAGAAAGAGAAACAAAAAAATTGAAAAAATCTGGATTTGTTCTATTCCTCTTCTTACATCCCCCTGACTCGGTTTTTAGCATATTTTTTCTATGTACAGACATTCAACCTCTACAGTTTTATTATATGTATAGATATATCTTTATGCATCCCAATACTTTTTTGTAATCTGAACGCGAGCAAAATCGGTTGTTCTGCTAGTAATTAATATGTTAAAATTTTAATTCAGTTCATTTAGCAGATTTATTTCCAATGTACTCTAAAGTCGTGGCAGACACGAGATCTGTGGATTTTTTTTAAATTATTAATAGCAAATCTTACTTTTGAGATTGGAGATTTATTTAAATAGACTAGATTTATTTTAAGCATTAGCTTTTATGACCTTTCTATGAATGCCCCTTCCAGAACCACCTCAAACACATAAAGCTGTATTGATTGCAAATGTGAAGGTCAACATATCAAAAAAACGACACTGCCAATATATCAATTTATTGATGTTATTTTATATTTTACTAGCAATACCCGCGGCTCCGCTCGCGTTCAGAAATTTCTCAGAAATGAGACATTTTCCCGCGGTAAAAAGTATCCTATATGTTGACCCGGATAACCAGCCAAATAACCATCACCATACCAAATTTCATCAAAATGCCTTAAGTGGTTTTTCCGTGATGCGGTAACAGACAGACAGACAGACAAAAATTCTAAAAACTATAGAATCGGCCTCTATATCTATAATAATGTCTATTTCAATAAGATTTTCCAAAAAATATTTAATGTACAGATTCGGCTTAGTTACAATTTTATTATATGTATAGATTATATGTAATACTCATATAATTCTTTTCTAGTTTAAATCCGCCACTTTTTGTTGGCCGTTTAAAGCAGTTTTTTTTTCAATTAGCTAGATTCTTAGATGATACATTGGCAAAAAATTGATGATACTCGTCCCAACCGTTGACCGATTTCAAAAACTAGATACTCCATAGAATTTTATTTTGTTTAAGAGTATGTTTTGTGATATAAACATCAAGTGTCAAGATTTTCATGAATCTTAATCATTCATTTTAAAATAAATACTCACCATCATGTGTCTGTTCATCGATCACAATGCATCACATATGTACCTATTATATCATATAGTCTCACTTACTATAGTAATTTGTAGAAAAAAAACAAGTATTTTAAATTTCAGTAATATGCTCGGAATATTGGTAGTTGGACTCAATAACAAATTTTTTAGCGTGTTTACAATCATTAAAGAATGAATCTTATCTAACTCCCCATAGTTCATAGAAACAAAATAACTGAAATCAAATCCCATATATCATTCATAATTCATTCAATTCAACTGCCTCGGTGGTGTAGTGGCTAGCATGTACGGCTGCACAATCGGAGATCCTGGGTTCAAGTTCCGGGTCGGGCCAAGTTTAGTTATTGAGTCTTTCTGTATAATAGCCTCAGTAACAGACCGGAGTTGGGAACTTGGCGGTGTTTCACCTCCGTGCCTCGGAGAGCACGTAAAGCCGTCGGTCCTGCGCCTTAACTCTCACTGGTCGTGACTCGCGTCGTCCCACCGGAGTATGAGAGTGACAGGAATAGAGAGTGCACGTTGTGTCTGCGCATACACGCGCTGCACTATATTATCTCCTGCGCAGTTGGCTAGTCTCAATGAGATTGGCCGCCGTGGCCGGAATCGGTCAGGAAAAAATCACCATCATCATTCATAAACTTGAACGAGTAATAAACAATATTATTAATACTTAAGAAATAAAATAATTGATGAAATAAACCTTCACATTTTCAAATCGTTATAGTTACTTGTTTTTGAATTCGCATTAATTAAAAGACTTGAAAAGCGTATCTTTAGATAAAACTATAAATAAGATTATTTAATTAGTGACTGATTTCATTATTTGTTATAACAAAATGTTCTACTTAGATTATGTTGGTAAGTTATTTGTAGTTAGTCCCTTGAGAGTAAATTTTTTTTTCAAAATGAATTGTAACCAACTTCGTAATACTAATAAGAAAAATGTTATGAAAATCGGACGACTGTGTAAAGGAAAAAAATGCATATGTCGACATGAGAACCTTTTTTTTGTCAGTTAATAATAATTTTATTATATTTTTGTTATAAAGTTTTTATTTTTAACTTTTCAGTGTAGATAGTAGTAGCAAAGTAAGAATTCTAACGTGTTAGGCTTGTCAAATCAAACAAAATAAGCCCAAACTCAAAGTATCTACTATTAGCCGTTGAAGAGTTCCACCTATCCACCTTCTGGCCTTACCATCAGATCATGTTAAAGCGTTGACCGGAACGTGTGGGGAAAGAGGCCGTTGAAAGAAGCCTGTGAGAAGTATTCGAATAGCAACGCTCTCGCTAGTGAACGCTAATAATCTTAAGGCTGTAAAGACTATTGATTGCACTATATCTTGTACAATTAAACTAATAAACAAGTAAAAATAAACCAATTTTTCAACATTGGCGCTTCGAGCCAGGATTTACAATTAACAAGAACCAGAAATATCAAGAAATTGAATAGACGATCTACTTATTCTTCGCTATACAACTATAAACTACATCACTCGGTGAGACGTTCCAACCAGATTATTCCATCAAAACTCCATAAAACCTTGTGCTAAATCTTTGTGCTAATACCAGTGAATATTGTCGTTAAATTTATTAATTATTGAGTCGTATTTAAAAGAGTACTTGTACTTCATAGAACTGCTGTCGTCATATAACTTACAGGTAACTCCACTTCTAGTAAAGCACCAAAATGTCCAAAGCTGAGCTTACATTGCCTAAATCTCCAGTTTTAGATCCCACAGCTCAATTTATAAAAGAATTGATTAAACAAAGAGGTACTTTAAAAGGCCGGTTAACTAAATTGTCCGTTTATGTTAATTCTTTTGAAAATCAATTTCTAGACCGCGCTAAAAGGGCTGAGTTAAATTTAAGGATGCAGGGCGCAGCCAATATATTGTCAGAATTTAACAATGTACAAAACAAACTAGACGGGGTTCTTCCTGAGTCACAGGACGATGAACAGCTCGACGAGAGAGAATCCTTTGAAAGTAAGTACTATACTATCTTAGCTCAAGCTAATTGCATACTAGATAATGATAGTAATTCACCCAATGCAAATAGTTGTGGGAACGACCTAGGTAATATGCATCAGTCGGTAAAATTGCCTACAATAAATTTACCTACATTTGACGGTTCCTACGAACAGTGGCTCGAGTTTAAAAATACATATTTATCATTAGTTCATACGTCAAATAATATAAGTACAATTCAAAAATTTCACTATTTAAAATCCTCTTTGAAAGGTCCTGCCGTATTAGTTATTGATTCCCTGGAATTTACCCCGGATAATTATTATGTTGCTTGGGAGTTGCTTATGAATAGGTACAATAATAGCAGACTTCTTATTCACAATCATGTGAAAGCTTTATTTAATATTAAAAATTTAAGTAATGAGTCACCTATATTATTACGCAAATTAATTGACATTATACTTAAAAACCTGCGATCTCTTAAATTATTAGGTGAACCGACGGAACACTGGGACACTTTAATTATTTATATGATTGTTTCTAAGCTTGATAATACTACTGAACGCGAGTGGGAGAAATATAGGAGTGATCTTTTGTTGAATGAACGTCAAAACGATTGTAAGACGCGAGTACAAGTAAATGATTTATTACAATTCTTAAAAGCTAGGGCTGATATGTTAGAAACGTTGCAAGTTTCACATTGTAAACAAGGTTATGATTCGAAAACTATTACAAAAACGTCACATAATAATTCTAAAGTTCATTGTAATTTATCTACGTCAAAATCAAATAAAGTTATTAAAAGGTTATGCCCGTATTGTAAGGCAGATCATTACTTGTATTCGTGTCAAAAATTCCTAGACTTGGCGATTGACACTAAAATAAATTTTGTTACTAATAACAAATTATGCAAAAACTGTTTGCGTCCCGCTCATACTGCGGATACATGTAAGTTCGGACCGTGTAGGAAGTGCAATTCTAAGCACAATACTATCATTCACCGCGACAGCGGCCCGACTGAAGAGCGAGTTTCGCTGCTGCATGCGCCCGCGCAAGGCGAGTGTAGTAGTGATTTTTATCAATTACCTCAACGCACACAAGCAAAACACCCTTTATCGCAGGTGAATGGTGCAGACGTACATTGCGCGCAAGCGTCACTCACTAAGCCTGTTTTGTTATCGACCGCGCTAGTCAATATAACAGATGATTCAGGGAATACAATTACTTGTCGCGTTTTACTAGATAGTGGTAGCCAATGCAGTTTTATACGAAAATCTCTATGCGATCAAATTAACACGCCATTAATACAGTCCATTAAAAAAATACAAGGAATCGGTAATTCTATCACGCAAAGTTTACAGTCTTGCAAAATAAAAATAAGTTCGTTAAACGGCGAGTATTCTACGCGCTTACAATGTTTGGTACTGCCGCAGATAGTACCGAGTATGCCATCTATACCTATTAATATTGATAAAATAATAATTCCGGATTTTATTATGCTAGCTGATCCCGCTTATCTGGAAGCTCATACGATTGATATATTAATAGGTGCCGATCACTTTTGGGAGTTATTATGTGACGGAAAAATACCTCTCGAGAGTGGCCCTTTTTTACAAAATACTAAACTAGGTTGGATTGTCTCGGGTCCTGTGAATGAAATTGTGTGTTTAAATAATATTGTTTATTGTAATTTTTCACAGTCAATCGACTCTCAATTACGTAGGTTTTGGGAATTGGAAGAGGTCACGGTTAAATATCCTGCATTATCCGATACAGAAAAGACTTGTGAAGATAATTTCATTAAAACTACTAAACGGGATAGTCAAGGCCGTTTTATTGTTTCAATTCCTTTTCGGGACTCACCTACTTTACTTGGGGAATCATATACACAGGCATATAAACGCCTAATTTCACTTGAAAAGAGACTATCTTATTTACCTATTTGTAAAAAGTTATATAATGAATTTATAAATGAATATATACAGTTAGGACATATGACTCGCGTTTACACTTACAACAATATACATTTTTTTATGCCGCACTTTTGTGTATTTAATGAAAATAGCTCGACAACTAAATTACGGGTTGTTTTTGATGCAAGTGCATTGTCATCGACAAACAAATCTTTAAATGATTTACAGATGGTCGGGCCACCCATTCAAGGCGATTTATTTTCAATTCTATTGCGTTTTCGCGAAAATACGTATATAGCATGCGCCGACATCGAAAAGATGTATAGACAGGTTTTAATTTCTGAAGATCAACGCGACCTCCAGCTTGTTCTATGGCGCAATGATCCTGCAGCCCCTGTCGAGATTTATAGGTTAAACACGGTTACATACGGAACAGCGTCTGCGCCTTTTTTGAGCGTTAGGTGTTTACAACAACTAGCTATAGAGTGCGATGACGTTGACGTTAAGCGAGTTATAACGCAAGATTTTTATGTTGACGATATGATTACAGGAGGGAATGATAAAAATGAATTATTAAATTTATACGAGAAAACAGCCAGGGTTTTAGCCAAAGGCTGCTTTCCACTTCGCAAGTGGATATTCAATTTTGACCATGATCATACATTGTCGGGGTCACACACATTAAAAAATCTTTCTTTAGGTGAACAAACGCAATCAAAAACTCTAGGACTGAGCTGGCTTAGTCAACTTGATCAACTTAATTTTCAAACTAAGGTTCAAGTCCCTAGTAATATAACAAAGCGTGCAATTTTATCCATTATATCGCAGATTTTTGACCCGCTTGGCTTGCTCAGCGCAACTATAATATCAATTAAAGTATTATTACAAAAATTATGGCTATTAAAGATTGATTGGGATACAAAATTACCTCAAGAAGCAATTAATGAATTTATTCAATTTATAGGTAATCTTGATGAGCTTAGCAATTTGCGAATACCACGTCACAGTTTTGCAAAGCATCACACACGCTTAGAACTTCACATTTTTACTGACGCTTCTCAAAAGGCCTACGGAGCATGTGCATACATTCGTTCTTTTACGCCAAATAAGGTTGTAGTCAAATTACTATGCGCGAAAGGTAAGGTAGCTCCCTTAAAGGTATTAACTGTCCCTAGGCTTGAGCTGTGTGGTGCTTTGACAGGAGCTAGGCTGTGTGTAAAAATAGTTGAATCGCTTCGCTGTCGATTTGATGATGTTTGTCTATGGAGCGATTCAACTATAGTATTAGGATGGTTGCGTATGGCACCTTATCAACTTAAAACGTATGTACAAAACAGGGTAGTTGATATACAAGAATTGACGCAGGATTATTTATGGAAGCACGTAGCAAGCCACGATAACCCAGCTGATTTAGTTTCAAGAGGTATCAATTTGCAAACGTTAAAAGACTCAAAGTTATGGTGGGATGGTCCACAATTTTTACAAGATCCTAATTTTAAATTACATTCAACTAATACGGAAAATAACATAATTAATCTCCCAGAGGTTAAAAGTTTACATGTAAGGAATGACAATTCTAATGATTGTACTAGTCAGTCTCTTTTTCCATTTTCCAGGTTCTCTCAGTTTAACCGCCTTCAACGCACCATGGCGTATATTAAACGTTTTCTACATAATAGCGATAAAACAAACTTAAAACGATCGGGTGCTTTGAGTGTGGATGAGCTGCGAGAGGCTGTGAGTACACTTGCTTTATTATCACAACGGGAATCGATCCTTGAATATGATGCTTTATCTAAAAATAAACAGTTAACTAAGAGCAATTTAAAAAATTTAAACGTATTTTTAGATAATAATAAATTAATAAGAGTAGGGGGGCGTTTATCTAATGTGTCTGAATTTAACTTTGACAAAAAACATCCTATTCTTTTATCATCTAAGCATCATTTCACATACCTATTATTTCGCTACGAACATATACGGCAACTGCATGCAGCACCGCAGTTATTATTATTTACTATTCGAGAGTCTTGGTGGCCTATCAGCGGTAGGAATCTTGCAAAGAGAGTTGTACATGAGTGTGTCGTTTGCACTCGGTTTCGCGGTAAAACTCTAACTCCATTAATGGGCAACTTACCAGCTAAACGTTTATCTGTCAGTTTCCCGTTTGCCATTAGTGGAGTTGATTATTTCGGGCCAGTGTTTGTACTAAATCGGAAAGGTAGAGGTGCTAGGTTAACTAAAGCTTACGTTAGTTTATTCATATGTTTTGCAACTCGAGCTATTCATCTTGAGTTAGTGGGTGACTTATCTACTGATGCATATTTACTAGCGTTAAAGCGATTTATCTCTCGTCGCGGCAAACCATCAGAAATATTTTCTGATAACGGAAGAAACTTCACTGGTTTAATGGCAGAGTTTTCAAAATTTTTACACAAATGCGCAGATAATATTAAGGATTATGCTATTAACAATAATATTAAATTTAATTTCATTCCGCCATGTTCCCCACATTTTGGTGCCTTATGGGAAGCAGGGGTGAAATCGTGCAAACACCATCTTAGGCGGGTTCTCGGTAACGCTAATTTTACATTCGAGGAGTTCAGTACGGTATTAGCACAGGTGGAAGCCGTTCTAAACTCTCGTCCCTTATCTCCCATGTCTACAGATCCAAATGATTTTTCCCCGCTCACTCCAGCTCATTTTCTGGTTGGTCGTCCATTGACCTCACCTGCTTGCGACAATTACGAGCAAATCGCACCGCATCGACTCACACATTACCAAAGAGTGGAGCAAGTCCGGCAGCACTTCTGGACCCGATGGTCAAAAGAATATGTATCGGAGCTACAAGTGAGAACTAAGTGGATGAAATCTGGTGACACACTGAAGGAAGGAACTCTTGTGCTGATCAAGGATGACAACAGCCCTCCTCTCAAGTGGTGTATGGGACGCATTGTTTCTACCTTCCCCGGAAAAGATGGAATTTCTCGAGTAGCATCAATCCGCACAGCTTCTGGAGCCATCACGAGACGAGCTTTTTCCAAGATCTGCCCCTTACCACTCGATTCAGCAACAGACCGTGGAGACTGTTGGAAGTAGGACCTTCCAAGGCCGGGGGCATGTTAAAGCGTTGACCGGAACGTGTGGGGAAAGAGGCCGTTGAAAGAAGCCTGTGAGAAGTATTCGAATAGCAACGCTCTCGCTAGTGAACGCTAATAATCTTAAGGCTGTAAAGACTATTGATTGCACTATATCTTGTACAATTAAACTAATAAACAAGTAAAAATAAACCAATTTTTCAACAGATCAGGTCAACAATACCGAACCACTGTACTATCAACGGAAATAGAAACACTTGCAAAGTTTCAAGTCAATATGACAATTAGAAGTAGGTTAAATTTATCATTAGCTATTTTTCCACCCTTAGGGGTGGTATTTTTTTTTAAATTTAAATGAGACCAATCTGGAAGTATACACTTTCAAACAAAACAAAAATTGTCCAAATCGGTTAATAAATGACGGAGTTCTGAGGTAACAAACATAAAAAAAAAAAAATACAGCCGAATTGAGAACCTCCTCCTTTTTGAGGAAGTCGGTTGAAAATTGGTCACTTCCTACTTCGAACTTCCGAGTAAATCATATCTATAATATAAAAATGAATCGCTGAGTGTGTTGGTAAGCGCAAATCTCAAGAGCAGCTGAACCGATTTCGCTAATTCTTTTTTTAGAATATTCCTTGAAGTCTTACAGAGAGACAAATTTAAAAAATTGCCTGAAAAAGTCTAAAAACAACACTTTTCTATACTCCCATAGAAAAGATTTGTAATAATACTTAAAAGTGAATTTGAACTTTAATACCATACCATAAATTCTAAGTGTTAGTGGAGAGGTTCCGGGAAGGCAAAACAATTGAGTGACGTTAGTATCGTATAAATATTAATGTCAATATTTGTCAATATTATTAACAAAAAAAAATTATATGGCTAATGCTGGCTAATAATTATTTATATATATTTAAAACGTACCTAGCGACAAACCCGAGCGAAGCGAGGGTGAGCCGCTAGTTATTTAAAAAATAAAGAGTCAGCCCCAAGCAAATAAAAAAATAAAAAATATTATAATTAATAGTACGTATTTTATAATCGATTAATAATGTTTTACAATAATTATCGTGAAACAAGATTGTAATTAAAAAAAATTGAAATTCTTATGAAAGAAAATTAAAATTGTTTCAAAGCTTTTACAAACCAGTTAGCTTTATTAAAAATTCACAGCAAGCTTGCATCTGGGGTAGTGAACTTGACTGGCGCAAAATTAAAACTATAGCGATTTCATACTGAACAATTTGCCTACAATTATTATGCAATCGATTTTCACAAAGTTTGATTGTCCGTCTCTTATTAAAGTGAAAATGAAAAATAAAAAGCACCTGCGACAATGGTGACAACCAGTTTGTATGCCAATAATCTAATCTTTAATATGGTAGGCCGTAGGTTCTGGCGGTGGGCGTAAAGCTTAGAGACTTTAGGCTACTACTTTATTATTGCATGTCTTCTCAGTAATTAAGTATTTTTGAACTATTTTGAATATAGTCTCCATATAAGCAGGATACTTTTCCTTATCGTAATAAAAAGTATCTATATCTTATAATAAAGTATCATATCTATGTGTAAAATGTATAAGCTTAAAACGCTTTAAGTGTATACTTTAAACCGCTCGTCGAATCAACTCAGTGCTACACGACACCCACGTGTTAGTGTATAGTTTAAGCGGATAGGGAAAACACATGCCCCATAATGGACATTAT